TTTTAAAAAAAATTATAAAAAATAAAAAAAAAGAAAAATGTTTCACTGGGTTTTCTTGACTATAGCCTTTTACCATAAAGAAGCTCTTGGCAGCACAAACAGCTAAGTGACAAATACCCAAAAGTGGTTCTAATCTATCCAGACGTGACTTAGGAGACAAGCCTGATGATGTGTTTCTGAAACAACACAGCCTTAAAAAGACTACATAGTACACAGCACCTACTCTGTTACACAGGGAGTTGTTGGAGTTGATGGCAACTACTAAAAAGAATCCAATGAAAGGAAATTGCTAGGATTCTCCTTCAGTGATACCATTCAGTGACTTCAAACTGCCTACCCTGAAGATAGCAGTCATGAGGAAACAAACTGTACCACCTGTTTTGTGGTTGGTAGGTGCCACTGAGTTGAACAAGAGTCACAGTGACCCTATGAATAACAGGTCTGAACTGTGCCCTATCCTGTGCCATCTTCTGATATGCTGTTGATTGCCTTCAAGTCGAATACAACTCATAGTGACCCTATGAACAAAAGGCCTGAAGACCCTCTACAACGATCAACATTTATCAAAGTTCATAGAGTTTCCGGAGGCATGTTACTCAGGAAGTGGATACCACTCCTGCTTCCAGTATATATTCTGATATACTTGAGTTCATCTATACAGTCACTGTGTCAATACAAATCGTTGAAGGTCTTCCTCTCCTTCACTGACTGGGAAACTGACACATCCATAATTACAGTGGGAAACTAATACATCTCTGAAACTTAAAGATCAAGGGATCAGATATAGTAAGAAAACAGTTAATTAAAGAATTAGGAAATGTGATTTCACTGAAATATATACAACTTCATATCCATTGGAAAAGACGTATTTTAACACTCATGGAAGAATATAAAAATTGATCATGTATTAGGTGGAAAAGCCCAGTGACAATAAATTACAAAGAGCACAAATCACTTACATAAGCTATTATGGATTGAATTGTGTCCTCCAAAAAGGTATGTCCTAACCTCTGTATTTCTGGATGTGCCATTGTTTGAGGTTTCCTTTTGTTATTAGTTAAATTAAATGAAGTTATAATCTCAATCCCTCTGAGTGGTGTTTTATAAAAGGTCAGGGCAGACAGGAAACAAGGTGACATGCAGGATGAATATAGTTTGTTAAAATCTGTCTATGAGGAAGGCACACGGAAGATAAATGGTAGCTACCAGAAACAAGGAGAACAGTATGAGCAAGTTCTTGTCTCATATAACCAACGTCTTGATATGAACTTCCAGACTCCAGAACTCTGACATAATACCGTTTTTAAAATCACCCTCTTAGCAGTGCTTTGTTATGGCACTCCTAAGAAGACAAGGACATGCCAACAATTTAGATATTAATTTGAAAATACAGTTAAGGGCTTGCTTTATTAGCCTTAAAATATTAGACTCACATATGGATTTTCAGAAGAACTTTCTAACCTTTTAAGAAAGCCATATGTTAAACATTTTTTGATTGTAGGAGTTTCTATAGCATGAGCATTGTAACTCTGACATTAAAATCAGCTATGGGAAGATATACCTAGACTAAGAAGCTGTTGTGCAAACAGAGCAAGGGAGCAGTACATGGCTTAAAGTTAAGAAAGTTGTGTGTCAGAGTTATATTTTTTCATCAGACTTATTCAATCAGTGTGCTGAGCAAATTGTTTGAGAAGTTGGACTCTATGAAGAAGAACGTGGTATCAGGATTAGAGGAAGACTTATAAATAACCTATGTTATGCAGAGGACACAATCTTGCTTGCTAAAAGTTAGGAGGACTTGAAACACTTGCAGCAAAAATTAAAACACTGCCGCTTTCAATAAGAATTGCATCTCAACATCAAGAAAACAAAAATTCTCACCACTGGACCAATAAGTGACATCATGTTGGATGGAGAAAAGACTGAAACTGTCAACAACTTCATCTTACTTGGATTCACAGTCAATACTCTTGGTACCTGCAGTCAGATTAGAGGATGTATTGTAATGGGAAAGACTGAAGTCAGAGACATCTCCAAATTACTGAAGAGCAATGATGTCACTTTAAGGGCTAAGGTATGCCTGATTCACACAATGGTCTTTTCCATCACTTGCTATGCTGCTGAAAGCTGGATGATGAATAAGGATGACAGAAGAAAAAAATAGGTCTTTAAACTGTGGTGTTGGAGAAGAGCACTGAATATCACACGGACTGCCAAGAGAACAAACAGATTATTTCTTGGGGAAGGTGTAATCTGAGTGCTCCTTGGAGGCAAGGAGGGAAAACTTCCTCTCACATATTTTGGGCATGTTGTTAGAAAAGGATATTCCTTACAGAAGGATATCATACTTGGAAAGGTGAGGGAACGGTAATTATAGGAAGACCCTCAACCAAGTGGATTGACACAGTGATGGCAGCAATGGGCTCAAACATGGCAGAGACTGTGAAGCTGACACAAGACAGGACAGGGTTCAGATCTGTTGTTCACGGGGTCAGTCTGAGTTATACTAGACTTGGCAGCACCTAACAACAAAAACAACACGGAAATAAAGAAGGAAACCTACTAATATTATTTTTCATTAAAATATTAAAGGAAATGTCAGCTTAGCAAAGGCTTAAAAAATATCTGTGTTCTCTCACTTAGGAGGAGAACTCAAATCTACTCCCCCCTAGGAGAGCAGGAATTATCTGGAACAAGTTTGAGAGGGCATTCCACCCACATCAGCAATCACAGTTTGTTATCACATAGATGAATGCTATAATAAAGAAAATGATAGGTATCTTCTTTTCAAAAGTTACAAGATGGAGTTAAAGCTGAAACAAGAACTCTTTTCTGAAAATTCAAAGTTTGCTAATTTATCACTCACTATTATGAAAGAATAAAACTACAACATAACATCAAGTTAGGAATTGCAGTGTTGAGTCTGGCCAACAGTTACTTCTATCTTACCTACGAGCTGGCAGGTTGACACCTGCTGCTAGGGTGGAGGTGCAGGTAAAAAGACAGAGGACTCCTGTGGAATAGGCCTCCTCCAGGAGCTTCCTTTCATCACTGGTGAGACCGCTGTGGTGATAAGCAACTCCATATGGGACAGTACGCCTCAGAACAGGACACAGGTTGCCACCACTTATGCTCTTCAAATTCTTAATCACTTCACATTTTTCTTTCTCCTTGTGTTTAAGATAGTCCCTACGAAAAATGATGTTAGAAATATGAAGCCTTGATCTTACATTGTTGTTTTTGTTATGTGCTGTCGAATCGCCTGCGACTCATAGCAACCTATGTACAACAGCCCTAAACACTGCCCTATTCTGTGCCAATCTCACCGTCTCTGACACACCTGCCTCCATGATGATCCCAGTCACTGAATCAATCCAGGTCTTTGAAGGTCTTCCTTTTCTGCACTATCCCTTCACCCTCCCAAGCATGATGTCCCTCTCCAAGGGCTGGTCCCTCCTTGCAATATGTCCAAAGTATGTCAGACGAAGCTTCAGAATCCTTGTCTCCAAGAAACAGCCTGGCTTCACCCTCTCCAGGGCAAACCTGTTCATTTTCCTAGCAGTCCATGGTACCCTCAATACTCTTCTCCAATACTACAGTTCAAAGGCATCAATTCTCCTTCTATCATCCCTAGTCATTGTCCAGCTCTCTGATGCATAGCAAGTGATTGCAAAGACCATGGCCTGTATCAGACGCACCTTAGTCTGCAGACTGACATCTTTGCACTTCAGCACGTTAGAGAGGTCTCTAATCGCAGACTTTCCCATCGCAATATATCTTTTAATTTCCTGGCTGCTGGTGCCAAGAGTGTTGACTGTGGATCCAAGCAAACTAAAGCTGTGCACAATCTCAATATCTTCACCATCCATTTTGACACTGCCAATCAGTCCTGTGGTGAGAATCTTTGTTTTCTTGATATTGAGTCTCAACCAAGCACTTCAGGTCCTCTTCAGTTTTAGCAAGCAAGGTTGTGTCATCTGCATAACACAGACTGCTGTTGATGATTCTTCCTCCAATCCTGATGCCACAATTCTCCTCATATAGCCCAGCCTCCCGGATAACCTGTTCCGCATAAAGATTGAAAAGGTATGGAGACAGGATACAGCCCTGCCTTACACCCCCTCCTAATTTTGAACCATGCAGTGTTTCCTTGCTCTGTTCTGACAACTGCCTCCTGGCCCAAGTATAGGTTTCACTTAGCGCAATCAAGTGTTCTGGGATTCCCATTCTTCTCAGAGTTAGCCACAGTTAGTTATGATCCACACAGTCAAACACCTTTGCATTTATAGTGACATAGTGCTTATAATTTAATTTTGGTAGGTGCCATGTAAATATTTTTTTAAAAAACAGGCATGACTTTTATTGATGTAAGTACATAAAAGATTCTTCGTAGAATTTTAATTAACTATTAAGTGGTCTCTGTCAACCTTTTTTGTGGATTATAGTGTCTTGGGGAAATCTAATGAAAGCTAAGAAAAATACAAATGCTCATTTAAACAATATACCGTGCACATAAATTTCAGAACATTCATGGATTTCCTGAAGTTTATTCCTGAACTTCCTATGAACCCATGAAAGCCATGTTTAGACTCTTTGGAATGATTCTTTTAAAATATTAACATATTTACTTAGTAAGACCATTACTGTAGAACAATTATGAGGATCCAAGGGAGGGGAAGGTGGGAGCAGAGAGGTGAGGATGGGCGGGTCGTTAATCACAGGGTTGCACAATTTGGTTGGTGGACGTGTGGGGTGAAGGAAATGGGAAAGATCCAGTGTGAAAAACAATGTATATGAACTTTGGAAATAAACCAGTATGAAATATAAAGTTAAAAAAAAAAATAAAGTAGGGGCGCGCAGGCTTGGCCGCGCGCTCCCGCCTCCCTCGGGCTCTCCCGCTCTTTCCTCCTCGCGTGCTCCGGGAGCCGTGGCAGATGAGATCGCTAAGGCTCAGACCACCCGGCCTGGCGGCGATACAATCTTCGGGAAGATAATCGGGAAAGAAATCCCAGCCAAAATAATTTTTGAGGATGAGCGGTGCCTCGCTTTTCATGACATTTCACCTCAAGCACCAATACATTTTCTGGTGATACCTAAGAAACCAATTACCCAGATTTCTGTAGCAGAAGATGATGACGAAAGCCTTCTTGGACATCTCATGATTGTTGGCAAGAAATGTGCTGCTGATCTGGGCCTGCAAAAGGGTTATCGAATAGTGGTGAATGAAGGTTCAGACGGGGGGCTGTCTGTTTATCATGTTCATCTCCATGTTCTTGGAGGCCGGCAGATGCATTGGCCTCCCGGTTAATTCTGCTTTAGGATTATTTTCCCTTCTTTAAACAACTGTCAGATTTGAAAGGTCGAATATGTTAAGCAGTACACTTACTATTGCCTGTGTACAGAGAGATTAAGGAAATAATTTGAAAAACAGTTGTGTAATAAAAGACGCGGTTGCATGGTTAAAAAAAAAGTAAAAGTAAAAAAAATAGTTATTAACATACTTGTTTAGAAACCTGCATATCATTTCTGCAACATTTTCACAGTTCTTCTTTGTAGGACAAAAAACTAAGCAGGAATAATTGGGAATAACTTCTGTTACTAATGCTATCAGGTGATCAGGATCCACCCTTTTCAAGGTATCAGAATACTGCAAAATAACAAGACACCAGAACAAAGAAATTAGCAGTTATTAGTTGATCCATTTTTTTAGCCAGTAGAATTTGAAAAGTAAGTAAATAATATATTATTCTGAACCTATTCAATATGTCTCATCATTTAAAAGAACATATGAAATCCATCTTAAACATTAAAACATTAAGTTCCACTTTTAGGTTATTAGGGTTTTGTTATATTCTGGAGTTACAGAGAATTAAAGAAGTGAAAATATTTAATATTATTAATAACCACACTGCATACTATCTCCACCAAAGCAGAACCAAAGAGCTAACAGAAACACAAAAGGATCCTAATAATAGTCAAAGTACTGCACACTTAAGAAATAACCTTTATTGTTACTAAGTTTTCAAAAATCACACTATCACACTCTAAAGGACATTTTTTTCAGAAATACAAAATATATGTCAATGACTTAGAACAATTCCTATAGCCCTAAGCAGACACCAGGAATTCAAGGAACAGTTATTTAAAATCTTATTCCTAAGACTTTACTGAAATGAATTAAGATTTTAGAATAACACAGCTTTACAGAGTCCTTAAGCTGCTATAAAACAAATTCATTTCTCCCCCTTTTCCTTTACATAAGTCATAGAATAATGGGAGCCATTTACATTTTTTAGGCACTAATATATGATCTACATAGTTTGTAATCAGACTTGACATTGCCAACTTCATTTTATGTTCTACATAGCTTTTTGAAAAGACCTTTCTTATTATAGCAACTACAAAAGTAATTTCCCAATTTCACAAAGATCTGATGTCACTGAAAGAAATGCAAGGTGATCTAATGTTAAAAACGGAAACTACTTTGAACAAATAATTTTTATAGTGTCCACAAAATGTCAAACACTGATTCTTATTTGGTGACCCAAGGCACCTCAGCACAAAGTCTGAGGGTGTTTGGTTTAAGGGTTATCAGTATTACCTTATAATTAAGGAGACGTGAAAAAGTGATGCCATTTTCAGCTTTGCTGTTAACCTCATATATCTTATCATTTATTTTCAGGTACTCTTTTAATTCAACCTTAAATTAAGAAGATGTTTACAATTAATAGCAAATATAAGTTTTTCTCTCCAGAGAGTTAAATGTTATAGAACTGTCATTCTTTTTAATTTAAGTATTTATAGGCAGGAGAAAAGCTTCTAAATACAAGTCATACTCCCTTTTCAAAAGAAGAGTTTCTAATTTGAAATTTAATGACCTTAAATTTATCTCTTTAAAGTATAAAGAGAATTTAAATCTCTCTTTAAAATTGTTATATTTGGTGGGAAGGTAAAAAAAATACAATTTGAAATTAAAATCTGGTGACTCACAAAAACTATATTCTGAAAGCCTGTGCACAAAACATGCAAACAGCACTGTACATAGTTTATGTACAGTTTAAGATACTTTCAGAGAAGTATAAACTACATTTGCTTTGTTTCCTCAAGCATTTTGGGAACTTTTTTTGAGGAGTTTAAAATGAATTCTGCGTGAGGTCTGAACTTCTTTTAAAATATCAAAGCATAAATATTTAAAAATATTTTTTTCTGTGTCAATAGCTCACAACATGGCATGCTAAAGTTGAACCAAAAGAAAAAAAATTCCCTTAGAGAATAAACATGAAAAACAGAATGGGCATAAAAAAATGAATTCAATAAATATTCACTAAATACTGCCTAGGGACTCTGCTAGGTGCTGTGCAGACATTACATATAAGCCAAAATGCCCACTGGGTTTACCTTCTCTCTGTATAAACTCTTATTAGTGAATAACCATGGCAAATGGAATTATACCTCTATTACTAAGCCAAATTTTTAATATTGTATATGTGCTGCTTTTATTTTTAAGAAAGATACATACAGTGTAAACCTTAGGTACATACATACTGGTCTAAACTGATTGCTGTAATATTCTGCTTGAAGGAACTCTTGTAGATCTTTAACATTGTTTAATGTTGCACTCATCCCAATAATGTGAGTTGTTTCTAAAAAACAAAACCAAAGCATAGAAGGACATTTGCACAGCATACATCTAGAATAATATAATAGCAATAATTATTTTAGTACCTTTCTTTTGTGTTTTTGTGAGTTCTTCCTAAGTGATTTAGAGAAGCTCAGAAATGAGAGTGAAAAAAGAAAATTACAAATATATTACCAGAATCAAAGGATGAAACAAATCTTTCAGGCACCCGAAAAGTTTATAATTTTAGCTAATTTCAAATTTGACAAGAGACTGGAGTATATATTTTTTTAAGACTCCTACAGAAAGCATATTGAATATAAATGTGGCTGCTGTAGTTGCAGTACTTTGAATGAAGAGTGAAGTAGCTGAATCACTTGAATAAAAAGTTCCCACACATTCCACAGATAAGGCTAAAATGGATGTTGAATGTAGCATACAGGACTGAGTTCTGAACACTTGCCACACAAAAAAAGGTTCATTATAGGATCTTGCCATCAGGATATATTTGGTAAAAGTGGCATGACTTCCCCAGCAGTGCAAATGACTGTTGCCCTTAACTGTTGTTGTTAGGTGTCATCACGTTAAGTATGACCCATAGTGAATGTATTAATAGATCTGAACCCTGTCCTATCCTGTGCCATCCTTATGCTTCCTGCCACACTAGAGCCCACTGGTGCAGTCACTGTGTCTAATTGAGGGTCTTTCCTTTTTTTCACTGACAGAGTCAGTTTTGACTTGACAGCAACAAGTTTTTGATCTGTCAATACTAAGATGTGATTCCTCTTATAGAGGCAGAAGGGAAAATCAAGAAAGGATGATGTTCCAAGCACCCTTAGAAGGATGAAAAAGAGAAAAATGCCAAATAAGAATTAAGTGTAAAGGATAAGAAAACTACAATGGCATTGACAGACGATTCTCCTCTGTTCCTCAGCTTTCTTTTTCTTTTTTAGCATGTGTACCAGCAAATCAGATCTGACTGGTACTGGAGGAGACTGTCCCTCCTTCTCCAGCAGAGCTTCTGGTGGATTTGAACTGCTCACCTCTGGGATTATAGTGCAGCTCCTTGCCACTAGGCCACCAGAGCTCTCAGATTTCTTTTTCTAAAGACCTTATCATCACTTGACATATTATACATATTCTTGTTTATCTTCTGTTCACTTTTACTAGAATAGACTTGATGAGGGCAGGGACTTTGTTTCATTCATTGTGGTTTTCCTTTTGAATGAACGACTGTAAAGTGTTCCAAAAATAGTATTTCTGTCCCAATTTTTATAATTTTATTAAGATTTTATTTTTTACAGTTAACAAATACTTCTATTTTTTTCCAATTAGAATTCCTGGAAAACTATACTAATAAGAGAAATAGCATTTTAGGTAAATACTTTATGCACATTTAAAGATTGTCTGATGTTGCAAAATAGCTCTTAAAAAGGCTTACTTTTAAATACAGTGAAACCTGTGAGAGCCACAATTTGGCAGGGCTATGTTGATTTTTCAAGTCGTTAAGTTTTCTGACTTTGACAAGATGGACATTTAACAGTTTTCTACTAGTATCTTCTTCTTATGTGCTGTCGAGTTGACTGCAACTCATAGCAACCCTCTGTACAACAGCTGTGAACACTGCTCTATCTTGAGCCAATTTCATTGTCTCTGACACACCTGCCCCCATTATCCAAGTCACTGAGTTAATCTATCTCATTTAGGGTCTTCATCTCTTGCACTGCCTCTCCACCCTTCCAAGCCTGATATCCCTCTCCAAGGACTGGCCCCTCCTTGCAACATGCCCCAAGTACGCCACACAGAGTTTCAGAATCCTTGTTTCCAAGGAGCGGCCTGGTTTCTTCAGTAGTTTCTTTTCCTCCTCTGACAGATGTCCACCTTATACAGGTCCCAGATTTTACAGGTTTTCCTGTATATTGCACTGTTCATATGATGATGACAGTGGTAGAAGCAGCAGTACTGAGCACTCTTAATATTAGCTCATATCACTTCCATAACAACTCTATCAGGTAGGTGCCATTCTTATCCCTACTTTATGAATGGGAAAAGAGAGAAGCTGAATGGTTCACAGCTCATGTAACTCTAAGTGAAGACTATGATAAAGAGTCTTCTCACCACCTGCTAATTTCATTTTCAGTTTCACTTATCCTCCCACTCTCTCAACAAAAATGTATGAGCTCATTTTAAACAAATTTAAAAAACTAAAGTAGAAAGTGTAATTATCTTACTTTAAGATTATGTAACCCACAATGTAAATGAAAGATTGTATAAGACACAATGTATATAAATGACTGCATGAAACACTGTAAAAGAAAGATTGTATAAAATATAATGTACATGAAACACAATTTACATGAATGATTGCATGAATCACAATGTACATGTGTTTATAAAATATGTGTTGTGTAAAACACAATATACATGAATGAAACATAAATGAATATTGTATGCAAATAAATTAAAAAGTAGAAAAATAAAGATTATATAACCTACTTACTGGAATATTTAAGAATTTTCTATATCCTCTGGTTATAAATCAATTAATGACCACATTTCCAAAGAACACTTACTGCTAGTGTAGAGGATTTTTGCTAGAGTCATTTCCAGTATAGCCCCTCGGCTTCCTTCACCAATCATGTGCAACTGTGAGATTAAGAAGAGACAGGTAAATCTGTATCTATTGACCATACAAGACATTTGTATGAAATGAACATATAATCTTTGCTTTATAACTACTTTGAAATATTTTGGACATAGCAATTTCAGAGTGTGTGTGTGTGTGTCGTGTGTGTGTGTATATACTTTCACTAGTTTTTAAAGTTAATGAAATTAGAAGATCTTCACCCTGAAACCTACAGCATCCCTTTTCAGCAGGAAGTAGCTAAGAGAATACACCATCCCCCTTTCCTTATGAATCAGGGTGAAGTCTCTCTCAGGGAGGAGTGATAGGGAATGGCAAAGGACACTCTGACAAAGGAAATTAATCAGAACTGGCTTTGACAAGCACTGTGTCAACTGGACAATTAAAACAGACATTCGGGGGGCAGGGGGAAGAAGAACGAACTGGGGAGGAGGGTAGAGAAAACAGTGCAACAATAAATGAATGAGAACCCAAAATCTCTGTAAATGTTCATTAAAACTAATAAAATTTAATAATAATTTTTAAAAAAGAAATTTGGAGACAACTTTTTAATACAACTAGAATTCATAAATTCTATCATACCCTCTGAAATCCACTGGAGGGCTGGCTGAGTCAATTCCAATTCCACGACAATGAATTAGCTATCATTTAACTTTACACACATACATACAAGAAAATAACTGACAAACTGAATTCTAGAGGAAAAAAATCATGAAAATCTGGAAAGTCAATTTATTAAAATACTTATTCTAATAAAGGTGTTCAGTAGATGCATATAGTAATCAGAATAAACATTTATGTAAAAATTTATAATTATAGAAGTGGCAACAAACCTCATCTACAACAACCAAACCCAGGCTGCTAATCCTTTCTGTTTCAATCAAGGAATTCACCAGACTATGTCCTTTTTCAATAGTGGCAATATATAGTGATTTCTTTTCCCTTCTTTTAATTGGAGGAAATCTTCCTTTGCTTCCAGCATATTCTTCCACAAAGAAACCCAGTTCCACACCAAAAACTGACAAACCTGAAATCTAGAATATTAGTTAAAATAAGCAACAATAATAAAATAAAGCAGATTAAACGAAGTTTCATTTTTCATACAAATTTTCTAAAAACCTACCAACCAACCATAGGTAACAAAGTTAAATATCATATATACATATCTAAGGAATGTCAAAAATAAATGTTGTTCTTTGCAAAACTCAACTTTTAAACTACATAATAGATGTGAAAAGAAATAGACCATTTGACATAAAAAATCAGAGTAATTATTTTTATGAAGCAATTAGCTTGTTTCTCCTTGTAAAAGCAGGTGGGAATGTAATCTATTATTCTGGGAAAAAACCAAAACATTTTACAACTTTTTACCATTGTTGTTGTTAGGTCCTGTCAATTACAAATTTTTGTGACTTTATACACAATAGATCTGAAACCTGTCCTGTCCTGGGCTATCCTCACAATCTCTAAAACACATGAGCCCCTTGCTATTGTCACTATGACAATCTGCCTAGTTGAGGGTCTTCCCACTTTCCGAAGTGTAATGTGTTTTTCCAGTGAATCTCTTAGCAATGTACCCAAACAACGTGAGATGGAAGTTTTATCATCTTTGCCTCCAAAAAGCACTCTGGCTGCACCTTCTCCAAGACATATCTGTCCTTTTGGCATTCCATAGGATACTCAATACTCATATTCAACAACACAATTCAAAGGTATCAATTCTTCTTCTGTCATTCTTACTCATTCATTGTCCAGTTCTCAGCAGCACAGCAAATAACTGAAAAGACAATGACCTGGATAAGGAGTATCTTAGTCATCAAACTCACATTATTGCTCCTCAATAATCTGGATAAGTCCTTGACTACATACAGACTTCCCCAATGCAATAAGTCTACTCTCCTGACTGCTAGTACTGCTTTACCATTATAGGATATTTTATGTAAGGGATTCATACATTCTGAAAATTATTTTCTGTCCTCAACAGATCCATCTCTTCTCAGTCAGTAAAAATTTACTTTTATTCTGATTTACAAATTGTAATGGCAAGATATTGGCAAATAACCCTTGCTTTAAAAAGCTCATACCTTTTCTTGGACAATTGCTACATATGGTAGGATCATTAAAACATCTTTCCGCCGGCAAAGAAGTTCTTGTAGCATTAAAATCTCAGCCACAAGGGTTTTCCCACCACTGGTTGGTAAGGAATATATTAAATTTTTTCTTTCTTGCACAGAATTCAGAGTTAAACAAGTATGTTGCCATTCTGTTAAATAAAAGAAAGCAAGTATTATTTTCCTTTTATAAAATCAAGGACCTGTATGAATTCTCCAAGGAGATCCAGTTTGCAGAAGGAGACTTTGCAAGCTTCTGTCTTTCAGTCACTCAAACACCCTCTTAGAAATAGGGAGAAGGGAGGATTTGCATGAAGTAAGCAGTTTCAACCAGTTCTAGTGGGAAGCTGAACTGTCAATGGCCTGAAAACCCTTAAAAACTGTCTAAGACATAAAAGAAGACATAAAAGACCGGGATTATTAACCAAGTCTAGGATTCCTACAACACAGAATGGTGGAACATGTGGAAAGGTATCAAATCCGAGACATGGCATGCAAACTAGCACAACTATTCTGGAGGATAATGTGACAATGGGCATTGTTCAGTCTCCAAAATATACATTAGATTATTTTTTCAGAGGAAAATTGGGCTCAATATATGACAAAAATATCTTACAGAAGGAGAAAGGCAAAGAACCAATAGAATATATGTGATAATTATTTATTGGAATGGCAAAACAAATAAAATACAAAAAAATATAAGTAGCTATTACCAAAACTCTACACATGTAAAATCCAGAGCTGACTAGCATGGCAAGAAACAGGTCTTCTTACATATGGTTAGTGAGAGTGAAAACTGCTGGAATCTTTTTGCAAAGTCAGCTGCTAGTACTTAAAATAAAACTTCATATTGCCTTTAATCTAGTAATATTACTTCTATGAATAGAAATACAAAGCAACAAAAGCAGGAGCATATAAGGATTTCATGCAAATGTTCACCACATTATTGTTCACATAAAACAAAGCACAAGGGAGTAGGAGGGAGGATGGATGCACTGCACAACATACAAGGCTGAACTGAGGATTGCAAAACCTTCATTCTCTGCCGCTTAAAAATGAGTTGTTACTGTTGTTAGGTACCGCTGGATATGTTCTGACTCACAGAATACCTGCATACAACACAAGGAAACAGTGTCCCATCCTGCATCGTCCTCACAGTTGCTGCTGTGCTGAGCCCTCTCTGGTACCCACTGTGTCAATCCATCCCATTGAGAGCCTTCCTTTTATATGCTGACCCTTCACTTTACCAACTATATCTTTACAAGGGGATTTTCAACATAATTTTAAGTAAAAATTTTAAAAAGTTGATTATCAACTTATGCTGAATGGTATTAATCTAATCATGAAAATGGTAGAAAAAAATACAAGCATTATAAAGGGCAGACTTGAATATTATCATCTTTGAGTTAAAAAATATTAAAATTTAAAAAATATATTAAAATTAACTGAATAAATGGTTACCTAAATTAAAAAAAATAAAATTGACCAATAGGTATATATTACAGAATATATTACAGGAGTATGAGGAATTGTTATGTGAATGACAGCTATGAATCATTTTAATTTATTGTGTTCCCAAATATTTGAGTGATTCCCAAATACTTACAAATGATTTCTCCAGTATGGAAATTCCTTCAGACTGGTGTCATCCATAAGTAACCAAATAGTTTATACAAAAATATAATTTATCATATCACATTCTATCTATTTCACGTCTTTAAAGTATTAAAATAACTACCATATAAGAATACTATTTATCTTGAAAGATTAGAAAAATAGGTTATATTAAATGTAGTTCTCAGCATTTATATAAAACACTTTAAGTATGTAACTATCATAGAAAGACAAAAGTTCTAATTTAGAAGTGATTAGTATAATTTACCATAATTTCTAGAACCTAATTTTTCAGGTTATTATGAAAAATATATACTTTCTAAAACAATTATTAGTACAGGTTATTATTATACATTATAATTATAATGACTTTTTATATAGATGAAGAACTAAAGTGCAAAATGCTAAGCTCAAATGACAGGGTCAAAATCTTTCACAGGTTGACAACCCCTTAGTACAATTCAGAACCTATCATACATACCATCACAGTTTTAGTTACATAGAAATAAAATGAGTGGGAGAGAGTCCAGTTCTGAGGGTACTCATTTGGGCAGGTAATGGTGATTAAACAGAGAACAATGTGTTAAGAGAAAAGTGAACAGAAGAAAGTTAACATCTACTTCAACACAAAACATTAGCTCTTAAAATGTGAACCTCACTACCTAGAACTTACTAGTCTTGTAACAAGATCTTGTATTAACCTTCCTTTTCCATAGTCTTATTTCTCCAGCTGATTATCTTCTTCTTGAAATGAAATGTTTTTAAAGAGTTCATAAGATCTTAACACAGGAGTTCTAGAAATATTTATGAAGGAATTCACTGATGGCCGATCCTTCAGTACAGCAGTGACTGTCCCTTGTAAAATGATAGGGATTTGAAAGGACCTAGAGGTTTTTTTAAAGTATTACCAAAAACCAACAAAAAATACATTCCAATTGCTCCTGACTTAGAGCAACCTGACAGAAGATGCATTAATTTCTATTTATACTAACTGTGCATTGAAATTTTAACTTCAGCTGTCTTTAAAGATGGTCCATTTCAATCAGTAGTATTATGAATACCACTGTTACATTTGCAAGCTCAAAGGAATTTCAGTAACTAAGTTTTGTTAGAGAAACAAAGCTAGTCAAGAAAACAACAGCTACAGAAACGGAGGATCAGTTGGGACAATCAGAAAAATGATAAGAGGCTCTAGAAGAGAAGAAACAATAAAAAAAAATTTTAAAAAAGAGAAGAAACGAGTGTTTTGTAAAAAGTGTGGTCAGTACAGTCAGTGCTACCAGAGTTCAGGTGAAAACTAAAATTATCACTGGGTTTGCTGTTGTATACCATTGGGTCAGAACTAACCCATAGCTGACTCTCCAGCAGGGTTTCTGAGGCAGTTAATTGCACGGGAGATTACCCATCTTTCTCCTGCAGAGCAGGTGGTGGATTCAATCTGCATTATCTTTGCATCGGCAGTGCAATTCTTAACCAGTAAGACACCAGAGCTCCTTTTACATATCCTAAAACTCACTGTTGTCAAGTCAATCCTGACTTGTGACAACCCCCTCCACTGAGGGGATTGAATTGACGTTGTAAATCTTTATAGAAGCAGACTGCCTCATCTGTCTCCTGTGGAGCAAGCTGGTAGATTTGAACCTTGGACCTTCTATTAGCAGCCCAATACATAACATGCTATAATACCAGGGCTCCTACATGTGAATATATCATATTAAGAAACTAGAACTCAAGCAGGAAGGACAACTAGATGTGACTGTGAAGTGAAAAAAGTTAGTGCTAACAAGGAGACATGAAAGGCTGATAGAGTTCTGCTATGTTGTCTCATGTCTGAAAGGATCATGGGCATATTTCCTTTCCCTTGATTGGCATTAATATGAAACAATGGAAATTTATTTTCATTACAGCAAACATTACCATATAATTTTTCAATTCCCTTGAACTGCACATAAAGGTCTTTCACTTTGCTGGGCAATGAATAAAAGGGTCCACGGTCATCTGATGATGACTCGAGTGCTTTCTTAGCAACATTAATTTCTTCAGATATGAGAGTCTCTTGGAGCTGCTTAGTCTTAGAAAATACTGCTGTTTGGGCTTTGGCATTTCCAGTCATGGCACTTTTTAAGTGATCTTTAAGACTTCTTCTCCTAGTCACATCGGCACTAGTTTGGACTTTAGAACAAGATTTATCATTTTGTTGGGGAAGCTCCATTTGACTGTGTGGTAATGCTTCATTCAAGGCCTGGCAAGAGGATGAATTTCCATCTCTTCCTTTTGTAAAATGATTACTCAAATTATTTGAAGAATTATGTAAGTTTTCAAAGAATAAAACCTGTGAAGAAGGTACATCATATAAAAGGTCCATTTCTGACTCAACAGTGACATCCTTAGGCTCACTCAGGTTCATGGTGTGCTCATTATCTTTCAATACTGCACTTTCACCAACCACAGGGATGCTGAGTTTGTTGTCTTCAATGTGTCCTGAAGAAAGTACTTTAGTGGCAAGGTCTTTATCTTGTTTCTTCTGCTCAGGAAGGTGTATGTATTTTTGTTCCAAGTCATCAATTTGATGTAAAAGAGAGTTTTCAGCAAAGCTATCATAGTCACCAAACATGTCCTCTTCACTGTCATACTGGGGGGGTGGGGGGAGGAGGGGAAAGCAAAAATACTTAAGGTTAATTCAAGTTCTATTAAAAACACAAATATAAGTCTAGGACTGCACCAGAGATAAAACTACCTGGTGAAGTTTTTACAGTCACTGGAAAATATTTCCTGATATTCTAAACTCGGGTTTAAAAATATGCTCTTATAAAAATTTTCCTAACTAAGTAAAGAGTACTTGGAGTGTTTACTGGAGGAAACTGAAGACTATATCCTTCAGGACAGATTAGAACTCAATACAAAACAAATACCCTTAACAAGTCTAATAATAACATCATGGGCGGGGGTGGGGGCAATCACAAAACTTCTCTAGTTTTTTCCCTTTCCCTCGCTGGTCTTTTCTCTCTCTTCATCTTTCTTTTCTAACTCTCTTTTCTTTTGTAACCCTCTCAGTTATGGCTTATTTATTTTCTTTAAACAACCCATCTTGTTTGTTACTATTTGTTTTCTCTCCCTATTTTTTGCCCCATCTAATAACTCTCTGCAATCACTTGTTATGCATCAGAGAGTTGGACAATGACTAGGGAGGGCAGAAGAGAACTGATGCCTTTGAGCTGTGGTGCTGGAGAAGAGTATTGAGGGTACCATGGACTGCTAGGAAAACAAACAGATTCATCCTGGAAAGGGTCAAACTGGGTGGCTCCTTGGAGGCAAGGATTCTGAGGCTTCGTCTAACATACTTTGTTACATGTTGTAAGGTGGTCCTTGGAGAAGGACATCATGCTTGGGAGGGTGGAGGGATGGCACAGAAGGGGAAGACCCTCTATGAGGTGGACTGATTCCGTGACTGGGGTAATCGGATGGGTGTGACAGAGGCAGTGAGATTGGCACAGGACAGAGCAGGGTTTAGGGCTGTTGTACATATGGTTGCTATGAGTTGCAAACAACTTGATGGCATAGAACAACAACAACAACAACAGGCAGTGACAGAATTTAGTGCCGCTAACCCCTTCTCCAGCTTTACATATGGGCAAGAAGAAAGATCAGCTTCTGCTTCACCTGACTGAAGAAACACTGTAATCAACACTGAACCGGTCTGCCTTCAACTGCTCTACATAAAGAGCAGAGAAGTGTACACTCACCTCCGTTTTCTATCACATTCACCAAAAGACAGGAGATGAAAAGTTAAGCCTTACCAAATTAGCAAGAAGGCAAAACACTTGCACGGTCCAATAAAAAGACAACTAATACTACAACAAGTCAGAGGGAACATCATTATAAAACTGTCAAAAAAACAAACCCCAAAACAAAACACACACACACACAAAAACAAAATAAAAAAACCCAAGTCAAGATGGAACAAGAAAGTGAACAAAAGCAGAAATTTTATCAGAGGAAGAAATGCTAACTGAAATTTCTTAAGGCATTAAAAAGAATGATAGGTAAATGTCTTCATCAGACTGAGGAAAAAGTTCCAGGAAATCACAGGGGGTAAAAATCTAGGAAAATATACACAAACCTCTAGAAGACTTAAAACAAAACAACAAAAAACAAACAATAAAAAAAACCTAACACTAAATAGGTAACAGAAGTGGACAACATAGTGAAATGGAAGACAAATCCTTCTGTCAGAGAAATAGAAAAAAAAGGAAAACATAGAAAGTGTAAGAATTATATGGGGGGGAAAAAAAAGAATTATATGGGGCAACATGAAGAAGAAAAACTTACTGGAATTCTAGGACAGAGTGAAAAAAGAAGCACACAGGAAACCATTGAATATTTGCTAGAGAAAATGTCCCAAATATTATATAAAAGGGAAAAATCATTTAAGAAGATGAGCAAAGTCAAAACAGGATAGGCCCCAAAAGGAAAACACCAAGACAATAACAAACTTTTCTAAAAGACAAAGAAAGAAAGAAGTAGCTGGGGGGGGGGGTTGGGGGAGATTTATCTACAAAGGCAAACCACTAAGTTCCAACTTCTCCACAGAAGCCATGCAGGGAAGAGGGCAATGGATGACAGAGAAAGAAAACTCTGAAAGAAAAACACTGCTAACCAAGAATTCTCTAACCAGCAAATATGACACTGAAATTAGGGCATTCCCAGAAAAACATAAACTAAACTAAGGGGATTTGAGAAAACCAGAAAATCTCTGGGAGCTCTGGTGGCCTCGTGCTAAGAAGCTGCACTGAGCTCTCTCCCCCCCCGCCCCCCCCCTTAAGGCATTATTTTCAAATCCTCCAGCAGCTCTGTGAGAGGATAGGCAATTTCTTCCCATGCAAATTTCTGCCTCTGAAAACCTGCTGGAGAGTCAGCTAGGAGTCAGTTCCAACTCAAGGGCACACAATAGCAACAAATAACAGACTCACTTTACAAGAAATACTTAAGGGAGTTCAACGGACAGAGAGCCAACAATAGGCAAAAACCTGAGATTAACATACATTACAATATCATTCAGAAACTGGCCCAGACATAAAAATAGACAAAGTATAATAAACATGGGAAAATAAAAATAAGGACCAGACGTATCAGTCTTAAAATGAAAACGACAATGCAGAAAGAATGGAGAGGAAGTCAAGGTGATTTCAAGATAATGTGAACTATTTAAGACTTGAGAATAAAATAAGTTATAGGATAAACTCCAAGAAAATTAGTAAATTTCATACTAATAAAAAAGAAGAAAATAATAGGAACTTAGTATACACTAAAACAACAGCAATGAAGGCAATAAGAAAAGCCATCAACAAAATTATCTCAGCACAGTAAAGTAAATGTAACAAAACAAACAGCATCTCTACAAAAGAAGAGAACAAAATGAAAGCAAAAATTCTGTATGCACTAGTCAAGAAACTGAGGACTTGAAGCGCTTACTGCAGAAGGTCAAGGACTGCAGCCTTCAGTACGGATTGAAGCTCAGCATCAAGAAAACAAAGATTCTCACCACTGGGCCTACTGGCAGCATCAGTATGGATGGTGAAGATATTGAGATAGTTAACACTTTTAGTTTTCTTGGCTCCACAGTCAACACTCTTGGTAACAAAAGCCAGCAAAATCAAGAGACAAATTACACTGAGAAAGTCAGCCGTCAGGGACCTCTCTAGAATACTAAAGAGCAAAGACATCAGGCTGGAGAATAAGGTGTGCCTGATCCAGGCCATAGTCTTCCAATTGCATGCTATACATCAGAGAGATGCAGGGACTAGGGATAATTGATGCCTTTGAGCTGTGGTGCTGGAGAAGAGTGCTGAATATACCATGGACTGCTTAGGAGAACAAACAGGTTTGTCCTGGAGAGGATGAAGTCAGGCTGCTTCTTGGAGGCAAGGACTCTGAAGCTTTGTCTGACATACTTATGGCATGTTGCAAGGAGGGACTGGTCCTTGAAGAGGGCATGTTTGGGAGAGTGGAGGGACAGCACAGGAGAGGAAGACCCTCGATGAGATGGATCAATTCTGTGATTGGGGTAGTGGGAGTAGCTGTATTGGAGACAATGAGGTTGGCACAGGACAGAGCAGGGTTTAGGCCTCTTGTACATAGGATTGCTATGAGTCACAAACGACTTGACGGCACATAACATCAACAACAGTCAAGAATAAAAAGAGTATAGCATAATGGGTAAAATACAGCCCATTAACATGCTGCCTACATGACATACAACTTATTAAAAAACCCCAAAAAACCAACAGACATACTCTTCAAATCCACCAGTTACTCTGCAGAAGAAGGATAAGTAGACTCCTGTGTAATTTACTGCCTCTGAAAACCTGCTGGAGGGTGAGCTATGGGTCAGTTCTGACTCTAGGCATACAACAAAAAACACAAAGTATCAAAAGATGGAAAAAAGATAGCAGGGAACTGCAATAAAACATAACAAGAGGAACAATCCAATTTCTAATAAAATTTACTCCAATGTAATAATCATCATTTGAGATGTTAGGTATTACATAATGATTAAAAAGATTAATTTCTATATACCAAATAATAGAGAGCTGCTAGATACAGAAACCAAACTTTAATATATTTGAAAAGTAGACTTCAAAACCTCACTACTGATGGACAGAATGACTTTGAAAGAAACTCAACAAAAGATGTAGAAGAACTAATTCTTTCCCCTGGAGTCAGAACTGACTCACAGCTGACTTTCTAGTGGGTTTTCAGAGGCAATAAATTGCATGGGAGGAGAATGCTCAACTCTCTTCTGCAGAGCTGCTGGTGGATTTGAACCACCAGACAGGGGACCACACCATGACAGCTCTCTTCAGGAGAATTAAGCAGTGTAAGATTAAACAAGATCTCCCGGACATACTGAACACAACATATATTCTTCTCTAGTGCCTATGGGATATTCTCCAGAACAGATCCTATGTTGGGTAAGAAAGCCAGCCCTTAGTAATTTAAAAAACACAGTAATACTACAAAGCATCTTCTTAGATCACAATGCTATAAAATCAGCAATCAACAAGAAGTACATCAAGGAGGAGGGAATCAAGTACAAAGAAACTAACATCCTGTGTGGACACTACAGCAGTCAAGAAAGAAAGAGACAAATTGCACTGGGAAAATACGCTGTCAGGGACCTCTCCAGAGTACTGAAAAACAACGATGTCAATGTAAAGACTAAGATGCACCTGATCCAGGCCATGGTCTTCACAATTACTTGCCATGCATCAGAGAATTGAACAATGACTAAGGATGATAAAAGAAATGATGCCTTTGAGTTGTGGTGTTGAAGAAAAGAAGAAAACAAATAGGTCTGTCTTGGAAATGGTGAAATCAAGTTTCTCCTTGGAGGTTAGGATTTTGAAGCTCCCTCTCACATACTTTGGGCATGTGGCCAGGAAGGGATCAGTCCTTGGATACGGACATCATGCTCAGAAGGGTGGAGGGACAGCACAGTAGAGGAAGACTCCGGATGAGATGGATGGACTGTTACAGTAACTAAGGCAATGGGGGTTGCTGTGTCGGAGTCAGTGAGTCTGGCTCAGGATAGGACAGGCCTCAGAGCTGTTGTACATAGAGCACATAACAACAAAGGCAGTAACTTCAAATTATAGATATGAGTTCTTGCTACTTAGTTGCATGCACAGCTTTAACAATACAGAAATGGAGTTAGGAGAGCAATTAATAGATGAACTAAAATTAACAGAACTAGTAAAGGGGAGGAAAGCAAAATGAAGGCCATTAAATAAATGGCCAACTGTTTACACCTGGAAGAGAAACTCCCAAAATTTTAGTGTTTCAACTTCCTCGCCTTCTCTAACTGGTCTCTCACCCTCTTTTCGGTGGGCATGCGGGGTAGGAGGAGGCCTGGGTGTTTGCCCCAGTCATGAAAGTGGGGAACGGGGTACGGAATTACATGGGATTCTAAAAGTAGTGGAGCCGTACCTCGACGGGTTGCAGGTCCAGAGTTTTCCGCCGCCGGCTCCCAGCCACCATCTCCTCCTCGTCCACATTCTCAGGTGCAGGTTCGTGCTCGGCCGCAGTGCAGACGGCACCAATGCTCTCCAGGCTAGGACGGGTCCTTTTGCGGTAAGACACCCGCCGGCGGATGCGGGAGCCATTCTCATCCATGACAGGGGCCTAGGGCTCTGCTAGAACTTTGTGCCCCAGAATAAGCAGACAGACCCAGGAAGAGGAGAGAGTGGGCAGGGTAGCAAGCGGGAGAAACTGTGCTCACGTTCCATCCACGACCCCAAACTAACCTCCCGGGGTCACTCGACCCACAGGAAGATTTGGTAATGCTCGCAGGGACGCAATCCTAGGAGCCTGTCTAATCATGAGCAGCCTCTGACTTTGAAGTATTGAGTGCGGGCTAATTGGTAGTGCGCAGGCGCACGGGAAACCGCGCCTACTCTATGCTGGAGTCGTCTGCGTTAGCAAGTGGAACCTAGTACTCAGGGCTTGAGCCTGCGGGGGAAGAGCACCGGAAGGGACCAAACCGGACGATTTTGAAACAGGAAAGACACGGGAAGAACGAGGAACAATGGCAAGTACGGTGACGCTCTGTGGTGCTTTGAGAAGAAAAAAATTGACGCATTTGGTAACGGCTGCAGTCGGCCTCAGAGATTCCAGGACTCACTCGGGTAAAGTGGTCTCCATGTTCTGTCCTCCAGTGTAGCATTGCGACCATTCCTTAGGCCTAGGTCGGCCCTCTTCGCAGAGAGGCGGCGACATCTTTGTGATTACGACCTATCCAATGTAGACGGGGATCCAGAATGACCCTAAACCAGTGTTTTACAGCGGAAGGAGCGGGAGATACTATCTAGTGCACTCCCCTCGCCCTCCAGATGACAGGGAAGCAGTGGTGAGGGTTTACCTGCTGGTAAGCTTAGTGACTAAAGACATTTCCAAAGACATCTAACTGATTCTTTCAGAAGATATCTAAATTCACAGATTAGAGTGAATTGTTATGCCAGTTTTAAGGTCTCCGAATGTTATTTCTGCACAGCACAAATTGCCTCTTTATTTTTGAAGAGACTACAGTTGCCTTGCTCTTTGGAGATACTCCGTTAACCCTTTTCTTTTCGGTGTAACGGTGCCAGATACTTTAAATATTTACAATAAATACTGTTTCTAATTATAATGAAGGGAAACTTTTAGGAAGAGAACAATTGATAGGTGATATTGTAGGGGAATAATGTGCCCTTTCTCCCTAGGAAGGAGCTTTGCTGGCCTTTTAACTGTAAAGTATTAGGTTCTAATCCATTAGCCATTCTGCGAGAGATGAAAAAATCTTCTCAGGACCGTGGTGGGTTTTGGTTGCAGCAAGGAATGGAAAGTAGAACCATTGTCATGTCCCACTTTATCCCCAGTCAAAACTAAAGATTTTTAATTAAGTCACTGAAAATGAAGAATATAAAAACTTTTCTATTAGTTCCTTTGATTCACTTTGTCCCTGTTAAAGTAAAAAAAAAAATCGTTAGAAAGAATTAATATGCTGGTGTTTCTGTGTCATTGTAGTGCTATGGAAAAGAGCTTGCTCCCAGTATAAACAGGTGACCAACCATGAGGACTTGGTAAGAGATGATTTTCCTTTATTCGTAATGTGAAAATATCAGATTCTTACTATATCTCAACTCTATGAGAAAGTAATGAAAATAATGATTATTGATCCACAGTTGAAAATTACAGTCCTAAATTCCATAAGAAAACACTACATTTTTTTCCTAGATATTAAATTTAAGGATAATGTGATTTGGGGATTTAAAAAGATAATTTTGGTGAATAGAATAATTACATGTAGGTTTGTCCTAGAGAGGGTAAGACCAGGTTGCTCCTTGGATTTTGAAGTTCTGTCTCATACTTTGGGCATGTGGCCAGGAGTGACCCTGAATGAGATGGACTGACACAGTAAGTGAGAAATGGGAGTAGGTGTGTTGGATTCAGTGAGACTGGCTCAGAATAGGGCAGGGTTCAGAGCTGTTGTATATAGGGTCTCTATGAATCACAGGCAACTTGATAGCACATACCAACAAACAATAAGAATGAGTAGAAAGTGTAGCTATAGGTCAGATCTTTTCCTAGTTTTGAAGTCACAATTTTTTTTGCCAGTCTTGTACAAAGAGTGGAGGTATAAGACATAGGGAGGCAAAGGGACTGCCCCTACTGATCTTTGTTAACTTCACAAAAGGGAATAATTCCCATTAGCAACATCCATAAAACCAAACAAATTCCCATCAGGTCAGACATGACCTCCAATCTCTTATACCTACTTCTACTGATTCCAACAGCAATCATATATTGTTCTACTGCTGGATCTGAAATCTGTTGTAATGGCTCCACAGATCTCATAAAACCATTTGAGGCTTACTAGGAAAGTTAACTCGCAAATTTGTGAAATTTTCCTTATTTTTTTAAGGGACGTCATGCTTAGAAAGGTGGAGAGTTTATGAAAGAGAAGACCCTCAACCAAATAGATTGACACAATGACTCTGAGATCATGAGGATAGTACTGGACAGGACAGGTTCAGATCTGTTGATCATAGTGTAGCTATTAGTCATCCTCATCTAACAACAACCAGGAAGTTGATATGTTACAAGTCAAATTAGCAGCAGGATGTAATTCCTCAGTCAGGACAGCTTCTCAAGCAACTTGCAGGCCCTTTTTAGCCTTTAGCCTCATGACTTAGGTCAGTGTTACCATTACCTTAATCCTGCCAATTATGGCCTCTCCCCTTTTCCTCTCTAGTAAGCTGAGGGAGAAGGCCCCTGGCTCTGCCTCCATGGTCAGCCCTGTCTCACTTTAGTCCCTGGTTTTCTGCTGAAGGGACTATGCTGGTGTGATTGGCACAAAACTGACCCTGAATGAAGTTCTCTGTCTTTGCTGCAGAACTTGCTCAGCATGAATTTGGTAGAGTGGGGGAAACTGTCCAATCCCATCATTAGTTAATACCCACTCATGTGATGAAAGTCAGTCAGTGGTGAGGAAAGCCTTTTTTTTTTTTTATTAATTTTTAATTATCTGCTTGGATGGCAGACATGGTCTCTCTGGGGTATATTCCCAGTAATGGGATTGCTGGGTCAAATGGTATCTCTATTTGCAATTTTTTGAGAAAGCGCCACACCGCCTTCCACAATGGTTTCACCATCTTCCATTCCCACCAACAGTGAATAAGAGTTCCAGTTTCTTCACATCCTCGCCAGCATTTGTTGCTTGCTGTTCTGTTATATTTTCCTATTACTGGGGTGAGATGATATCTCATAGTTGTTTTGATTTGCATCTCTCTTAGAGCTAGGGACTTTGAACATTTCTTCATGTGCTTGTTGGCCATCTGAATGTCTTCTTCGGTGAAGTGTGTCTGTTCATATCCTGTGCCCATTTTTCTATTATTTACCTTTATCTTATAGTGGTGTTCAAGTATTTTATAAATTCCGGATATAAGTACCTTATCTGACATGTCATTACCAAATATTTTTTCCCAGTCTGTGCCTTCCCTTTTTACTCTATTGGAGAAGTTTTTGGATGTGCATAGGGATTTGATTCTTAGAAGGTCCCATTCATCTATTTTATCTTCTCCTGGTTGTAGATTTTCCAGGATACTTGGAAGTCTTTTTATGTTTTGGATTAGGACCACTAAGCTCTTCCAAGCTTTTCTTGAATGAAGTTTATAGTCCTTGGTTTTAGTCCTAAGTCCATGATCCACCTTGAGTTGGGTTTTGTATATGGAGTGAGGTGTGGATCTTGTTTTAGTCTTCTGCATACAGCTTTCCAATTTTGCCAGCACCATTTGTTAAAAAGGCTGTCATTTCCCCACTTAACTGATTTCATCTCCTTGTCAAAAATCAGTTGACCTTAGGTAGATGGGCTGATTAATGGATTCTCAATTCTATTCCATTGATCTATGTGTCTGTCATTGTACCAGTACCATGCTGTCTTAACCACCACGGCAGTGTAGTAGGATTTGAAATCAGGGAGAGAGATGCCTCCTACATTTTTTCTATTTTTAAGGAGTGCTTTGTTTATTCGGGGCTTCTTTCCATTCCAAATGAAGCTAGAGATTACCTTTTCCATCTCCTTGAAGAATGGGATTGGTATTTGTATTGGGATTGCATTGAACGTATAAATTGCCTTTGGTAGTATTGCCATTTTCACAAAATTGAGTCTTCCTATCCATGATCCACTATCATATCATCTGCATAGAGAGATAATTTTACCTCCTCTTTTCCAATTTGGATTCCTCTTATTTCCTTCTCTTGTCTTATTGCTACTGCCAAGACTTCCAATACAATATTGAATAGGAGAGGTGATAATGGGCATCCTTGCCTTGTTCCCGTTCTTAAAGGGAATGCCTTTAGCCTCTCTCCATTGAGAACAATGTTGGCTCTCTGGTTTGTGTATATACTATTTACTATGTTGAAGAAGTTCCCCTCTAGTCCTATTTTGTTAAGTGTTTTAATCAGGAAAGGGTGTTGGATTTTGTCAAAGGCCTTTTCTGCATCAATTGATAGGATCATGTGGTTCTGGTTCTTTGCTTTGTTAATGTGATGAATTACATTGATTGTCATCCTTGCATCCCTGTTATGAATCCCACTTGGTCATGGTGAATTATTTTTTTTTATGTATCGTTGGATTCTATTGGCCAGGATTTTATTCAGGATTTTTGCATCTATGTTCATGAGAGATGTTGGCCTATAGTTTTCTATTTTAGTGGTATCTTTACCTGGTTTTGGTATCAAGGATATGTTTGCTTCATAGAATGAGTCTGGGAGAATCCCAGAGGAAAGCCATATTTAACAATAAACTTGTGTCATCACAAGTCTTTGCCTCATTCCTAACTTTTTTTTTTAACCATTTCCAGTTTTTATTCTTAATATTATGATCAAAACTGCAAAGGCAGATTTACCTCTGAACAACTAGAGGGAAATTCTGGAAGGTTTACAAGAACACATACTCAGCTAGAATTCTACTTAAACTGTAGTTGTTCGAAAGGTAAAATTCATTCCTGTATTTTCTCAATAAGTCTTCCTTATTTTTGCCTTTCTCTTTTCCAACTTGTCGAGATCTGGATTTATATTCAAGGATATCCTTCTGATCTTCATCCATTTTCAGCGTGGGGTAACCACCTTGCTTG